TATGAGATTAACTGCTTCCTGGAAAAATAACAGGAGCTCTTTGCCATTGGACGGACCTTCCAGTACGTTCATAAAGTCTACGCCGAATGGAGAATGCAGCAGATTAATAGTGTATGTAGCACTTGAAGCGTACCGTTGGATTTCGAATGCAGGCTCACCTCTGGGGGCATTTCCGTACTTTCGGTTACAAGTCATTTTCACAACACTACTCTCGTCAAAACAGTGAACGGTGCCTGGTTCCAAGTCGGATATTGTTTCAAGGAATTAATTTCGACGATAGATATTGCCACTCCTTTGTGATTCTAATGGTATTTGCTGTATTTTCTTTTTTGTCATGTAGAGACACTTTGATATGGTACTGATACACTGAACCTATGGCACTGATACACTTTGATATGGCACACTTTGACGGCAGGTCCAGAAGATGAACTACTCCGTCGAGTAACAAACGATCTTGTAGTTCCCTTACGTATACGCTTGGTTTCATAAGTTTTTCCGTTTCAATACAGTTGACTACTTCAGCATTCATTATTCTTCTCTCTGGTAGATCTCGGAGATGCTGGAGCGAGGAACCGGTGTGATCGTAGTCGGCTAACACATTAGGGAGCTTAAGATACAGACGTTTTCGGGGCGACGGCGACGTGACAACCCAGGTAAACTGGGTCAGAGGTTGCCGTTTTCGCGCCATAATTGAAGTTGTTAAGATTCTGATGACGGCCGGCCTTTGCGACTTCTTCGAAGTTCGTCGAGTTTCGCTTTATAAATTGAGGCTTTTTTGTCGTAGCATGGTTACGTTTGAAGAATTCCGCCACCTCCTCGTCCTTTACTACGACGCTAATCTTATTAGCGATGAAGAGTTCTTGGTTTTGTATGAAATATTTCCGTCTAAAAACCCTAATTTTCCAAATGAAAATCTCCATAGATCTGAGGTGTACGTTTTCGAGGTGCATCTACGAATTGATAAAGGGAATGGCAGCAAGCAAAAATTCCCTTTTATGTTAAGAATTCAAGTACTGTATGCGTACGTGCCCAAAACTTACCTCGACGATTTGGACTTCACTGTGTTGCCTTGGTCATTTTAACCTAAAGAGGAAACAAAAGGTCTCTTGAGTTGGCCGAGACATCGTGTGACGATTTGTGCGAAATGTGATAATGCAATCACTTTGATACAAGTGGCAAAATTGGCAGTATATTAAATGAAACAAACAACATCATGAAGCAACATGAAACAACATCAAGAAGCTAGAGTTGCCCTCGGCTATCGCCTCGGGCAACTCTTACGCTTCTTTCGTGCTCTCGAAACTTCCCGCGTGCTCCATAACTCGATAGTGCACGCTAAAGCATGAACCAATTGTTAAGTAAAGTATCCCTCCTCACATCAAACCTGTAGTTTATATTATTTTTTGCTTTAACATGAAAGCGAAAATTATGTACCTATGCAGGATAACGTGACATTCTCATTGGAAATAAACAAAGACAAGTCTGTAAACAACTAATCTTGGATAATTTCTCTCGAGTTAGTTTTTTCCACTTTTGTTGAATGAAGATTCCAGTTAAAGGTACCCGTAGCTCAGTTGCTGCAAATATAGAAAGAAAAAAATTTGTTATTGTGCCCAAGTTACGTACCACGATCAGGCACCGGCACAGTATAGAAATTCAGAATTTAATTCGTATGGTCCTAAACTGGAAGTTTATCTTCGCTTATCTGTTGAATCGTACTGTAAGGTGCAAATTAACCTTATGAAGTTAGACCCAGCAAAAACGGGAATTAATCAACACCTCGAGAAAGAAATGTTTGGTGACTGCCATTTGAATGGGCATTCGTCTATGTTCCATACGAAATCTTGTATTTGATGGCACATTGCACAGTATAACCAACATTGCCAATAACAGCAGCGCTCGGTGGCATTAACCACGGTTTCATCTGCAGATACAAATTTCCCACAAAATAGCTTTGTTCGTCGCATTGCTTCAAAAAAACTCACTTACTAACCTCATTACGCAATTGCTTCGGTGCTTACATCAACCTCTTCGGTTTCTTTTTCTCGAAGGGCTTCCTTAGCCAGGAATTCTTCCCGTTTGATTTTTAACGCCAGCAACTTGGGCTGATCAGGTACTAACCAGGCCAAAAACTTTCTGATGGAATAAACGATGTATTGGAACACAAAGACGAAGGCCAGCTTCGCGGCAATCACATGCCAGTATTGTTTAGTGTAGGCATAAGGATATTCACGTTCGTGATAACCTGGATACCTGCATTATCAAAGGGGAAAAGTTGAAGAGAACAATTTTTACTTTGCTGAAAAAAGCATTTCAACGTCATCAGGAGTCTTTTTTTCATCAAAATGACAAAGGATTTTCTGAAAAATGTTCCTCCTAGTACCTAATCGAGGCCGGTCTTTTCGGAAAAGCTTTCCGCTGCTGATTCAGCTCCGCACATTCACCTCTACGCATTCATCTCCCAAATTAAAATCAAACCCATCAAGTAATTTTCAATTAAGTTTCGAAGTTAATCAAAGATATTGCTTTGCTTTTCTCTGAGATTGATCCAGAAAACTCGCGCCACTTTTTGAACCAATCAGATGCAAAACTAAAACCAAGCACGACTTCGTCACCCGCGTTTCATTTTTCCCGCGCTTTTTAAAGCGCGGGAAAACGCTATAAGCATTTTGCTTGTTTTTACTTGGAATTCTAATTGGTTCTTAATGTTATTTTTCTTTCTTCTGATTGGCCTTTTCTTGTAAAAACGCTCTAATACACTCGAAACCATCATCGCTCATTGTAAAGCCGCATGTTAACTTACCTGCAGAAGTCACTGGTATAATTCAGCACTTGGTATGCGTATTGATCTCCTGGCTTTCCTGTCAACTTGTACGTATCGTAGTCCGATATATTGAAATACGCCAAACGATTTTCCACGAAACCCGCCAAAGTTCCGTCATTACTGTAGGAGTACTTGTACACGAGCCTCGGTATGAAGTCTGACGTAAACGCTATGACGAACGCATTCACCAACACCGACACATTTGCTAAACCTTCCATAATTGGGTACCAGGCTCCGATATCTTGAGCGCGTGTGGCGATGGGTCGGCGGAATTGACAGACATAGTTAACAGCGTCCACGCGCACTTCTACGGCACTGTTAAGCAAAGCGAACAGAGGTGCCAGAGGAAAGGCAGCCACAAACATTGTCACGAATCCGAACTGTAAAACTAAATAGGAAAGAAAAGCCAGTGGAAAAACAGCGAAATGTAATAACTTGCTCTAACGAAACTATTTCGTACAATTTGATGCAAAAAAAAAAAAAAAAGAAATCAGCACTGCTTGGGTGATATTCCTAATACCGTATCTTTCTAATACATTGCCTTCCTTACTTGCAACCTTTCTTTCAGAACAAAATAGGTAATAAAGGCCTTTCTCTAGTGGTTTAAGCAGCCAAATAAAAGCTCCACTAAACACTTTCTGCTAAAAAAAAAAAAATGGATGATGCTCGAAGTAAATAGATGGCCATTGAGCACACTCTTTACAAACAAACCCGCAGTATAAAAATTATAAAACGACTTGGTTTATTAACCGTAGGCCCCGAAATTTGAACAAGTTAGTCATGAGTTGAGAATAATCAACCTTATCTCCCACTGTTCCAATAAAGAGAAGAGAGCATTACCAACTTCCAGGTATTCCCAAAACAAGCTGTGTTCTGGTAACGGGCTCAGTTTGTAATCTTCCTCCCACTGAGGGATGTCCGCTGTTTCTTTCCTTGCTTGGCGCAATTTCCACCACTTCATCAAGCCACTAAACAAAAGTTAAAATTAAAGCTACATCAAAGGTTGGTCTCTCAGAGTTAATTGTGATTTAGGTATTTCTTCCTTTCGTGTCAAGTACACCAATGTCCCAACCCATCCCTTTACTTGCACAGGGGTTCGATAACTCCTTCCATGGTATACTCACGGGATGGCAGTTTCCGTAATGTTTCCAATGATCTGTTGTCCGACCATGATGACCACCAGCTGTATGCACAAGTCAAGGAGGCAGCCTGCAGCACCGCACCCATCCAGGCGTCCGTTTCCCAGTCGCCGATAGTTGCCCGGGGTGCCGACCACAAGGTTCAACTTGAAGAAAGCAATGTGGAAGATCGAGGAATAATTGTTCACGAACTGAAACAGGAACATCTTGTAGGTGAAGCTGTCTTTATAGTCAGTCGCTGTTCGCGGGTTCTCCCAATTGGTGAGCCATATCGCCAGTCTCTCGTAGAAGAATTTCAACAAATTAATGAAAACCTAAATCGGTAGAACAAATATTAATCCTGACTTGAACAAGAGAATGTCGACTCCTGTGACTTATCATTCACAAAATTTTTCATATCAGACTACGGTTCTGTATTGGGAAGTCATGACGGATGTTCGAGACAACTAAAGGTTGCCTGTAAGTCAGACGATTTCCCTTCTTACTTGACGAAAGAATCGCTCAACTGGCCGAAAAACAACTAAATGTGCGTGATTGAGTATTTTTTTTCTGTATTTCACCCAGTACTTCAAATGAGGNGCGATCGGTAAACACTTTTCGTCAGCCCATGGAGACACAAGCCTCTTCAAAGAAAGCCAATTCCGCATTCTAAAAATGTGCCAAGGAAAATTGGACTGTCTTGTCTACGAGATGCTTTTCATCAAGCAGCACAATCCTAGTCTAAACACGCAGACTGATTCCATTCGTGCAAAACCAGTCTTTGAGAGAGAGAGAGAGTAGAGGGTGGGGGAGAGAGAGGGAGTGACAGAGAGAGAGTTTAATTGAAGTTCGTTAAGACTCACCAAATTCAGTAAGGCTGCTGTTACACTTGTAAGAATCTTGGCGTTTTTCCGTACATCAGTATCTTTGCTGCCCACAAAGGTTGCAAACACCGCGGCCCTGTAAGCTACCACTCCAATGACCGCCGCTATTACCAGGAAAATCATGAACGAGATTGCGCTTCCAATTCCGGCAAACCTTTGGTATTTCGTCATCTTTGGGATATAAGGTACCACCTTACCGGTGACAGGATCTTCCCGCCACGTGGGAGCAGTGGCCACAAATTCTGGACGGAACTGTTCCTCGATATCTTCAAAATGCATCATGTGCCAGCGGTAGGCAAGAACAGCTTGACGCCGCTTCCAAAACTCCAGGAACACTGTCGCCCACACAGACATGAAAATGGCGAAGACAACCGTGCTGTCATTATCGAATGCATGGGCTGCGATATAGTAGTAACAGCTTGAAGTAAGAGACCAGTAGGGGCACTGATTGTCGCACAGGGAACACATGTAGAAGCTTTTTTCATTGGACTTGTTGCAAATATCTTTAACGGGTTGAAAGTCCTTCGCGTTTATGATACCGTACAAGAAAACGATGAGCCCAAAAAGAGCAGCAGGGATGAGCATGACGGTGTAAAACCCCAGCCAGGAAAAGTAAAGGCCAATTTCGGTGCCGAAATAATCCTTGATGGAGTCATACGGCTGGAACTTGAACCAACGTCCGAACCGTGCCCAGTCACGTCGCAAGCGCTGTCTGTCGTTCGTGGGGGATTCCCCCTCCGGACATTCTTCGGGACCAGGATGGAGAGGGTACGATGCAGTGAAGTTTTCTTCATGAATCATTTTTTTAATTCCAACATCATACTTCTGTTCGCCAAACTTAAGATGACTACAGATGTTCTCCACCATACGACTCCTGTCCGTTCGGCTAAAGAAAGTGTCCTTGTTGTTATGGCCGACATAAATTTCTAAGCGATCGCTCTTGAAGTAACCCATAAAGTAATTCTTTGACTCGGTGATGGTGCCGTCGTGGATCTCGAAGGGATTAGTACGATCAATCATATCTCGGATGTCTTCTCTAATGTGTTTCTCGTACCAGCCCTTAATTGTAATGTCACTTTCCTAAAACGACAGAACGAAATTAGGTCGGAAAGATAAATACCTACAAACCTTCTAACAAACCGTAATAGAGAGGGTCGAATAAAAAATAATATCAGTACGAACAAACAATAGAAAAATCGAGAAATGTGAATCACAGATTAATGATAACAACATTTACCTTTATGGGCATTTTCATCATCATATCTTCAGCTGTCTTGACTAACACTTCCCATGGTGCATGAACTTTCCAAAAGTGAGTCTTGGTTTTGTCGTCCTAAAAATTGAAGTCTGATAGTAAGTACCTCAACTACTAAGCGATCATGACCGACTAAGAAATTTGATAAATATCCCCACTACGATTAAGGCATAATAAGCCAAGATGTTTTTCGGTCATATCTCGTTGGTACTAAAGCATGAAGATTCACACCTCCCCCCCTCCCCCCTCGCCACAACTCCACCCACCCCAAAAGGGCAACCGGCGAACAAGAAGAACTAATTCAGAACTTGAATTCTGCGCGCTGAGGAAACCTACCACCCCGAGGGGATAATGCGAAATCAAATGTGTCAAAAACAGAACTGACAAATACCCACTCAGTGTGGAAGGGTTGGTTAGTCGCACTTTCGTCCAAGTTTATGTTTTTTATCAACAGAGTCAACAAATTAGCGGTTTTAATTTTTAAAACATTTCACGATAAAAATGTTGCGACAAAACATTTCGTAAAAGCATATTAAAAATTTGTCGACGACGTTTCGACGTTTGGCTAATGTCATTATTACGTCAACGAGTGAAAGATAAGTATTTATAGCCAAGTTGTAGTTATACGAAATCGGCAACCAGAACGTTTAACTACAACTTGGCTAAATGGTTGGAGGAAAACTGAAACCACTCTCCGTGAATGAGTTTGCGATTACCGACACCATTCGCTTCTCTGAAGAAATCCGCAACTCGCATATCTGCGAAGACGACATATTGGTCTCTTGTGATGTCACAGCCCTCTTTACTAACGTTCCTTTAAATGAGACCATCAACATCTAAGTCGGAAAAGAGTTTGCCGTTGATTGGTTTAACCAAACTTATGATCCTAACCTTCAAAAAGGATCAACTCAAAAAACTCAAGATCGCCCCTACCAACCAGCTTTTCCAATTTAGTGACCACCTGTATGAACAAATCGACGGTGTGGCTAGGGGTTCACCCCTCGGCCCTCTAATGGCCTATGTCTTTCTCTGTCACCTTGAGGACAAGCTTACCTACGATGGCGTGATGCCCACATTGTACAAGAGATATTTTGACGATACCTTGGCCAGAATGCCCAGCACCGATGTTGCAGATGATTTTCTCACTACTCTTAATAGCCTCCACCCCAGCCTGTCTCCTTTATCGGCACTGAAATAATCAAAAACCAAACAAAGATCGACACACAAGTATATCGAGAGCCAACAAACACTGGCTTGTTGCTGCATTTTCAAAGCCACACAGACAAGCGCTATAAAGATTGCTTGCTCAAAACAGTGATCCATCGTGCATAGGCTTTATCCTCAATGACTGAAGCCTTCAATCAAGAATGCACAAGATCTATGTTCCATCTTTACTCGACTTGATTATCCCTCGGCATTGATCAATTCTGCCTGATTACCAAAACCATTCAGAGCTTTTCACTTTGCACGAGAGAGAACAAAAAGGAAGACAGCAGCGATGTGCGAGTGAGTTTGCCCTTTAAAGATCAAACATGAGCTAACGCAGTTAAAGGGCAAATGCGTGACCTCACGCAGTCACAAGATTGGCACTACACTACAACCTGTGTTTGACACCAGAAAATTGGAACAAGACCTCTAGCCCAGAGAAATCAAGCCTGCAATCGTAAGTAAACAATGCGTTGTTTACTCTTTTACATGCGATCTGTGTGATTCAGATTATGTCAGCTTTACAGCTCGACACGTATTGCTGAAGATAAAATCTCTGCGATCGGTAAACACTTTTCGTCAGCCCATGGAGACACAAGCCTCTTCAAAGAAAGCCAATTCCGCATTCTAAAAATGTGCCAAGGAAAATTGGACTGTCTTGTCTACGAGATGCTTTTCATCAAGCAGCACAATCCTAGTCTAAACACGCAGACTGATTCCATTCGTGCAAAACCAGTCTTTGTTTAAAAGAACATTGCACTACCATTGTCTTTTTAGTATTTAAACATTTGTTATCTTTCACTCTTTGACTTGATACTGACGTTAGCCAGACGTCGAAACGTCGTCAACAAATTGTTAATATGCTTTTACGGAATGTTTTATCGTAATTTTTTATCGTTAAAAGTCTAGAAGTAACTATTCTTATATTCACAAATGGAACCCGTGTTTTCAGCCTTCTCCATCGCAACTATGATCCAACATTTTAGTGTGCGTTTGTTTCGTGGTGTTTCAGGCTTATAATATGTTCGAAAAATCTCTCAATTCAGATCGAAACTGCACAGAATTACAAGTTTGCAAAATACATGTAACTGCCCTAATGGGCGTTCTACTAAATTTCCAGCTCGTGTAACGGTAAAACTTAAAAATTGCTTTTTGTACCGCGGCCGGGGCATTTCATATTTTAAGTCCTTTAGAAGTCAATATCCAGGTATATTTGTGCTAAAATATATTGGGTTTCAATTCGCGAGCTACAGAACTAAATCAGACGATCTTATGTCACTTTCTGTTTGCAAATATCGTTTAATTTTTCTGTCACACGTAATAAAAGTTTGCGGAGAGTACGTGTTGACCACCGAAAGGATTTATCCTTCCAACAAAACGTGACAAATGTGTGTGTGAAGATTACGTGACCATGTAAAGTTGAGGTATACATATGTAAATACTTTCACCTCGTGGGCTGTTCACGCGGGTGCGAAGTTGTCGATATCCCCAAGATATTTGGGTCATTGTACGAACATTCTCGAAAATTAAGAAGATACACCTTTTAAGGATCAACCGAAAAGAGTTGTTTTAAAGACGCAAGAAACAAATATCGTCGTCTGTTCAACGAGAAACTAACACCAGACATTGTCTAGTTAAAACAAAAGAACACTAGCCACAAAGATTATATAAATAAATAATCTTACGAGTTCCATGACTGGAATTTTTCATGCTCTGCATACTTTCTACCCAAAATGAGGCGCAGATCAATAAACAACTCGAATTTAACAATTATTTAAAGCGCGAAGTTGTTTCTTTAGGTTGTGAGCGCTTAAGAATATTCAAATTTCGTCATCACACGCTAATCAATATCATATGGAGAACTGCATTTGTTTTAATTCAGAGTGTAGTATATAATTTCGTAAATACAGATACACTACAACAAAGCTTGATTTCTCAAAAAAAAAAAAAAAACATTTGAGTGTTCTTTCACTTTAATTTCGGCTCCACATTTGTCAAATGCGATGAAAATAGAACTGTTTTTTTGCCTTGTTTCATAGAACACACCCGATTGAATTTGCATCGAAACTTACAACGATAAATGAACATGGAGATTATTTGTTTTCTTACCTTCGTAGTGACCTCCTCTTCGTACTCGATTTCGAGCCCAGCTTCCACTAAATTTCGCTGGAATCTATCCCTTTTCTCTGCTTTTTCGCGCAGTTCTTCCTTTTCCTTCTCTTCTAATTCATCTTCGTTCGAAGGCGTCTCGTAAACGATCACGTAGTCGATTAGCCGCTTCCCATCACGAAAGCACAGCCGTTCTTTCTCCTTCTTCTTCTTATCGACTTCAATGTGTTCCAACTCTATCTCGAGTGCCTGCTCCTCCATCATCTGATGTTTCGATAAAACAGCTTCCTCGTCCAAAAGTGGTGTTTGATCGGCGAAAGTCTCTTGCCGACCTGCAGCATCACTTTCGCTGGCTGGAACGCGAGAACGCAGCCCACTTGCACTGGGGTGTGCCATCAGAAGCAGAAGATATGTGAATAGTTAATTTTAAACTGAAATTCTATGACTATCGAACCGGAGGTAAATAATCTCAAATTACTATTATGGCTTTCCACACGTTTCTCGTGATGCGTCACGCTCTCATTATGCGCCCGCGTTAGATTGGTTGTGTGACCAGCAATCTTGGGGAAACGCTACAGTTAAAAAAACAGAAAGTAAAATAAAACTTCACATTAGACTGGACCTTTGGACATTCAAAAGGGTAGGAGCAACCCCCATGACAGATTTTGTGTGTTCAAACGTAAGTCCATACGTAAATGAGTATATAAAGATCTGTAATTGAGAGAGGAACAGCCATGGAGTTTGTAAAGAGATTCTCCTGGTGGTCATGTGAAGGATTGAGAGCAACTTTGAACATGCAGATGTGACTCAAAAATTGCTAGCACCCGCGGGGCACGCAATTTGTAGCCTTAGAAAGTTTACACGTGATCAATGTTGACAAATTTTTTACATAATGTTCCCGTAATTTCCACTCAAAGCTTTCTGCAATAATTTCAAATTTATTTTCCCTTCGGGTTTGATTAACTCGCCCTCAGCCGGAACATGATGAGCGCGAAAGTTTAGGCAAAGTCAATGATTATTTTAATATTTAAAACTGCGATAAAAAAAAAAAACGTATGAACTAACCTCTTATCATCAGACTTAGGATCTGTTTCTCCAGCTAATGAAAAGGGATTCACGTTTTCGTCTTGTATTTTCCTTTTAGATTGACTAAGGAAAAGAATTCGACAGAAAGTGCGCGCTTAGAAATAGGCAAATGATCAGATAGTCTGTACTCGGTGAGCCGTATGATTTATACTCACACAGCTTCAAGCGTCTTTCTGGGAAAATTTCTGTTCTCGTCCAATGTACCATATAAAAACTTGGTTTCGTGCCTATAGATAAATCAGACATGCACATTACGCTCAATGCAAAGACGTGAACAAGGTCTCCAATATGCAAGTCCTAACCGTATCCATCTTGTATTAAAAGCGGCTGCCTCCGAAACATCGAAAATTCAGAAAAAAACTAAGTCAGTTCGACAACTTTCCTTTCTCACTTTATTTAATCGAAAATTCATGATGAAGTAGTTAGAAATGAAAAGGCAAATAAAAAATCGTTGAAGAAGACGATACTTGAATGAGAGTACGGCCGGAATTCTTTGTCTTGTGGTCATGAATTTCACTAAAAAAGTCTTACAAAAATTGTTCATTGGATGCAATCGAGTGTCCACACTGAGAAGCTGTAATTCGTGGCTTTTGAGTACCGAACTTCTACGACCTAACGCGGCAATTTGTTCTTCTAAACTTCAGGTTTCAGCAAATCGGCGGAGCAAGTAAATAATCTTAGATTAATGATGTAATTTTACTTAACTCAAACTTCAGCTTACCTTTCCACGAGCTTCTTAGTCTCCATTTTACTTCAAAACATCTCGTTGCTCGGGAAGGGCTCAAGTTATGCTGAACAGACTTCTACCTTATGAAAAATTTAACAACACGCAAACACGGTGGCGTGCACTCGAGAAATTCGAACACCGATAACAAACACGTGAAAATGCGCGCATTAATAAGCCAATCACGAAGAAAGTACTCAATTGGCAAGTCTTGGATTTATCATTCTTTGCATTTCGCATGCTTCAACATGGTTTTGCCACTTGATTTACAGCTTTTATCTAAATAGACATCAGGTGGAAATCGCATGATCAGCTCTCATCGGCATGCTGACTCCTTTTCTCATGTTTTATCAAGCGCTCACAAGGCGGGGATGGTAAAGCCTATCGAGGAGGGCTTAACATTGCAGTTCTATCTCGAATTTTGCTGCTTACTCAAAGGAGAAACAGACAAGCAAAGAAATTTGAAAAAAACACGCACGAAAGGAGCGTTAGCCTCAGCCAAAATAGAAGACCTGGACTTCCGACCTTTGTGACAAGAAAAAAAGTAATACCTGCAAATGCAGTTCGTCGATTCACTTCCATTTATTAATTGAATTCAGTTAGAACACAAGCCACAAAAAGTCTCTAATGAGTCTGTTCCAAGAAAAATGGGGACTCATAAAACCAAAAGAAAGAGGGAACACCTTAAAGACATTATACAAACTACGCCAAACAGAATATAAGTTTCGACTCGTCCTAAACCAAATTAAAATTAAAGTTCAAAGGACAAAGCCCAAACGAGATTCAGAGGTAAACCAATCTTCTCATTCCATCCTTCACGGCTGTATATTGTGGTCATACTCTATTGATGCCAAATCTGCTTCCACCTGCAACACTACTAGATTTTCTCGATCTGTTTACATTCTCGCACGACATGTAAAGAGAGTTTGTAGAACCGTCAGTGTGCGACACACGTGCGTCCAGGTCACGCGAAGCTTCAGCCTCGCTTCGAGTTAAGCACTGCTTGGCGACGTAACTCTCGCGCTTTATCTTCACTTCAAGTTTGCGGGGGATATCAGGAATGAACCAACCCAAGAGACTAACGATGAAGAACACGAAATATTGGAAGATGATGACGAAGGCTAAACGGACAGCGAGTACGAAGAAATATTGGCGGTTGAAATCGTATGGCTCTTGTGGGTCAAAATACTCTTTGTACCTGGTGAAACAAAAACCAGCTCAGTGCGTTAGGCAGTCAATATGCTAATACGCAGTCAAATGATAATGGAATTTGTAAAGTTCTAACATTACCTACAGTAGGATTTGTTATACGGTAAGTTTTTGAAAGGATCTCGTGGTAAAGCCATATCACTGAAGTCTTTGATGTTGAAGTAAGACAAGCTGTTATTGACATAACCGGTTAAACTTCCATCGGAGCTGTATGCGTATTTGTAAACTTCCCTAAAAAGTTAATAAAAAGCTATTAAAATCAAATATGGAAGACTTGATTTCTGTGCAGTTGATAGATAAAAAGGCCAAAACTTAAATCTTATGAACCTATTTATGATACTTACAAACCTATAGTGCGGAGCAGTTGACTTTGCATAAGGCGACCAGACATATTTCTGCTTCTGTTTGTGACTGGAGATAGTATATCACAAAATCTCAGGGGTTCTCCTCGCCCTTATGGGAATTGCAGAGTTCCCCCCCCCTCCCTAACTTCCCCCAGGTACACAAGTTTATTTCAGAAGTGACAAGTCGCAGTGCTACCTCCCTTTTAAGTGATAACGTTTAACCAAACTTGTACATCACATTTGACACCACTAAAACATGATCTGTTGTTATACACATGCCTTGGAATAAATTCTGATGTAAAGGCGATCACAAAAGAGTTCACAACTACGGCAAACCAGCTCATGGTGCGAAGAATTCCGAACCAGACTCCAATCCCCTGAGCCCGCTCTGCCACTGGTCGGCGGAAGTTAATCACGAAGTTTATGGCATCAATGCGAAGTTCCAGGATGTTGTTGATGAGTGCAAACAAAGGAGCCAGCGGAAACGCGGCTACGAACATGGTCACAAAACCAAACTGGATCGCTAGAGAGTAAACGAAACGAAAGCTTGGTTAGCTCGTGCCAAGCTCCTTGATCATGTGGACGAGAGAAAGAGCGGGTGTGCCAAAAAACTGGAAAGCAGGCAGACGCGGCTGCTGTGGTCCCATAGAAAATGGCATTTTCTTTCACGATTTTACTCATTCTGCGACTGTAATGAATTGCACGTCTTTCTTTTCGTTCGTGTCCACGGGCGGAGAACCTTGGACAGGCTAAAGATAGAGCGCCTGTATCAAAATTCTCTTGATTCTTACATAAAAAAAGATGACTATTGGATTTATCAGTGACACCTATAATCATACGAGTTCAAAAGTAACATTTTGGCGGAGAAATCCTAATCTTTGCTATTTTACCTTGACGATCTTAAAATGCGAAATTATCTACGAACCTATTGATGAGGTCATTGTTTATCAACTTGGTAAACAACGACGACAACAGCAATATATCATGAACACACTGACATCAACTTGAGAATTCAAAGCAATTAAAGCCCAAACGTTACCCATGTCGTGGTATTCGTAGAACATTCTCAACTCTGGTTCACTATTAATAAAATAATCTTTCTCCCATTGTTCAGGATGTGCATTTGATTCTTTTTCCTTTCGTCCGTACCACCAACGCACTATAGATCTGAAAAAAACAAAAACCAATTCTTTAAAGCTAATGAACGAGCTTACGAATGAAAGAACAAAGCAAAGGGCAGACGGTTGCGTACCAATCGAAAGAAATTTCGGACAAGCGAACAAGCGAATGAATGATATTAAGGGGAAGTAAGTAAGGTGATTTAGTAACAGAATGCAATATATCTTGTCAGCCATAAGGGAGAGGTAGCATAAGTTCATAAATACGATTGGTTTCTTCTCTCCAAGTGCGCTCATAAAAATACTTCAGTTTTCACCACAACTCCCCTCCTCCCCCTGCTTGGATTAGCCTGAGTCGACCGGCCACAGTTCTGACCCTGACCCTGATTATTCACAAGGTAAATAACTCTGTCAAAGGACGTTGCTATCCAGCGGATAAATGCTTACAAACAGACAATTTCGTCCGTTGGATACACGTTATCGTCTTTTTTTTTTTAACACCTGGGGCCTGATACAGGTACACACACAGACAGCTCAGCTCTGATTCTTTTTCTAAATTCTTACTTAAAACAAGTTACCGTGAAAAAAAAAAAAAAAGATGAATAAAATACTCACGGAATAGCAAACTTGGAAATGGAATTAATGAACTGCTTGCCAACCATGATAACAGCTAACTGAATACACAACTCAATGAAACATCCCGACGGATCACATCCTTCCATTCGTCCCCCACCGATTCGATTGTAGTTCCCAGGATATCCTACGATGTGACCGCATTTGAAGAACGCTATATAAAACAGCGACGAGTACATGTTTACAAACTGGAAAGAAAATAGCTTCAGGGTTAAAATGTTATGATACTCTGTTCTGGTCCGGGGGGACTCCCATTCTGTGAGCGCAATCGCTATTTTCTCATACACAACTCCCAGCACAGTAATGGCGACAAGATTAAGAACAGAGGCTGTCAGAGAGGTTATAATTCGCGCGCCTTTTTGTATGTCTTCGTCCGGGAAGGCGGACAAAACAGCGACCATGGCTGCTCTGTAAATGACAACTCCAACTAAAGTAGCAATTACGAGCAAGACCATGAACGAAACTACCATAAAACCGCAAGTGAATCTCCCTACACGCAACGAAAAAGGAATATAGGGCTCCAATCTACCCGTCACAGGATTGGGTCGCTTGTTTTTGGCTTTGGTAACAAACGCTGGCCTTGGCGGTTCAAATTGTTCTTCAAAATGCAACATGTCCCATTCGTGAGCTAGGCTTATTTCGCGTCTCCGCCACATCTCCAGAAACACGGTTGCCCAGAAAGAAATAAAAACGGCAAAGAACACCGTTCCTTCGTGGTCAAACAGATGCGATACTGTAGCGTAATCACAACTCGTTGTGAGGGTCCAGTAACTGCAATCTTTGTCGCAAAGCGGACACATGTAAAACAAATCGGAGTTCCTCTCATCACATATATCTTTTACAGGTTGAAATGTTTCCATTGTTATAAGACCAGCTATGAAGCAACATAAGCCGACTAAGGCAGCAATGACAAGCATGAAGTTGTATGTTCCTAACCAAGCAAAATACAACGCTACTCGAGTCCCAAAGTAATTCTTTACCGCATTCAGGGGCTGGAATTTGTACCACTGACTAAAAGACGCCCAGTTTTGACATAATCGTTGACGTTCGTTTGTCGGAAGATTGTCTTCCCTCTCTATCCGAAGATCTTCGTGCAAAGGATATGCGCATTCGTAGACCCCTTTGTGCAGTAGACGAGAGATTCCGAAGTCGTCCATTTCAGACGAATATTTCGTCGAGAGTAGCAAGCGATGCGTCATGCGGCTTCGGTCAATGTCAGAAAAAAACGTTTCCTTGTCTTCGATAAGGAAACAGTCTGACTTTGCCCGACTAAAAAACGCTGTTACTTGGCGATCAGGCTTCATGAGAGAACGATCTTGAAGTTGGAAAATATTCAGAACATTTTTAGCCTTTTGAATCCATTTACTCTTTTTCGAAGACTTGAGGTGTGTTGGCCTTTCAGGCTCGCGAACAGGGACCCGAATCATCATTTCCTCTGCGCACTTGGCAAGAACGTCCCAAGGAGCGTGAATAAGAACGAACAAAAGGTTTTCCTATGATAAAAACATTTCCAGGGATTAGAATTGTCATGCAAATAAAAGGTTAACAGACCGTGAAATAGTTCTGTTCAGTTCAAAGGAGTTCATAACATTACAGAGACAAATCTACTTTCAGAAAAGGTTTACATGATCACAAATGGTATATCTAAAGATCTGGACGTTGCCGTGAACGTGTCACCTTCAAGCCGAAAGTATAATTACCAAAATACCACTGAAACAATTCTGCGAGTGTCGTACATGTGTTTTCAAACCTGTTCGGTAGATGTTACATGTTCTATCATCAAGCCTTGCTTTTTCAGATTCTCTTCATATTTTTCTCTCATCTCCGCTTTTTCTCTTTCTTCCTCTTCATTTCTCTTCTCCAACTCAGGTTCAGAATAAACTAACACGTAATCAATTTTCTGCGGGAGACACAAGTAATAAAATTTAGTTAAATTTAATTAGCTGTGATTGTTATTGGGCAGATGCTCCTCATCACTACACAAAATGACTTGGATACACTAGTAAAGAAACACTTTGGGCAAAAATAATCATGACATCCCAAACAAAGAAAGCCAAAGTTTGCTTACTGTCATTGTCATTTGCGAACTAAATTTATTACGCTAGTTTTTTTTAAGACCTAGAATGTAAACACCTTTTCTACAGCTTTGACAAACAGAGAGAAATGTAAAGTGCTTGATTATAAGTTTAAAATCTGATGTTGTAAAACACCACTGATTAAAACTTGATTTCTGACATGTTTTTCAGTTCTTACAGCTGTCTTTTATCGCCCCATGTGTCAACACCACAAACATTAAATCAAATAGATTCCCACCTTATTCAACAATTCTCGTTTACTTAACGATCCCCATCGACCTTGACCGCCCATGTCTTGTAAAAGAATTTCTTCCATCGTCGAAGGGTTTTCACTGCTAGTTAGGCACTCGAGGTTTATTTCCGAAGTGCTTATCGCTGTCACGTAACTATTGCGCTTCTGCGATGTTTGACTCCAACAAATTGGGGAAGGACTTTGTCGTGGTTTGCCAGACGCAATTGGTGATTCATAGACGGTGGAAGACGCAGGATGCGTTTCACTTATGTCTCCAGTGTTTTCTGCAGCTGATATGCATGAGATCGGATCTCTGAAAATGAAACGAGATAAATTAGTGGTGTGGCGATGAGTAATGCTCCAGTCAGTTGTAACAACAACGCATAAATCATATAATCAACAACGATGTGAACACAAAACCGTTTTGTAAGTAAAACCCAGGTGGATAAATATATATGGTGGTATAACAGGTGGCAAACCACTTTGGTTTTGCTCTCGAAATTTGCAAATACGTTTTTGTGATTTGCTTAAATATTAGCGTACTGAAGTATCAATAATAAAAGCCAAAATAACTTAGCTGAAAGTTACTTCTCTATTTTTAGGGGAAAGTCCTCCTATCAAGAAAAATACGTCATAATGCCTTCAGGCTGGTACCAAATTTTGCGTTTTTTTTTTTAACACGCCTTTATTCTCGATGCAAGAAGTTATGGCGCGTCTAAGTTTAATCACGATAGAAAAAAATTTAAACAGACTACATAGACTTAAAATTTGATCGAAAATATTGATAGAGATGTTTTTTGTTTTGATGAAATTTAAAAAAGTCTTCTCCGCACCTATAAGTACCAAAATGTTCGCTGTTTAGACCGTTCGACTTCGATAGTATATTGCGATATCAGTTTACAGCGTCGTTTAAATTAACCCTATTAAGAAATACGCTTTCCTTAGTTCATGTTAACCTGGTAAAACGGACACTCTATAAAATAAACCCACCTTCCTACCAGACAAAATACTCGTGAATTGTTCATTTTTTGTAGTTCCAAATGGAGGGTGAAATCGTTCTCTCGGTTTCGATTTCGCAATCAAATTAGGTGGAACTTAGTTTTACCCTTGCATTGTTAATGTAGAAAAAATATTGTCATTATTTATGCAGAAAAACTTTATCACATGCTAGCAAAGTGAGATGACATTGTGCCCCTGGGCGTCCGGAAAAAGACCGTTTCAGAAGTAAAGAGCTCGACGAACTTAGGCCCGTTAATATACATTTAATGCGAAAATATCAGAACGATTAGTTATCGGCGTCATGGCAATATTTAAGAACGAGTCTCTGTAAGAATCAAACATCTTGGGAAATGAAAATTTTCAACCCCCCCCCCCCTTCAAATTTTCCATGCAGTTAGACACTCAGGGGAATGCATAAAAATGCCCTTTTTAAAGGCTACAGCACTCTTGTTGCTATGGTAACAACGGCTGCGTGTTCGAGGCCTGGGGCCTCATTTTCATACAAAAACATTGCAAAAAAAGTGTAAAATATTTATTTCTCTATCTCAAGCTAAATACAACATCACAAATTGGTACTACTAGCATACACAGTGACATCATTCGTCTTTACTTTGATGTATTCAATTTTCCCTATGAGTTAACGTGAACACGCCAATAGATTAATTATCTTGGTACAGTTTCGGTCATTTTCTCTGTGGGGTAAAACAGGGAAAACGTTTGACTAAATATCTCCAAAAGTACACCGATTCTGGAACTGAAACTACGCACTCAGCTGGTTGTAACATTCTAGTTTTTAAACATGTTAAAATCTCTGCGGGCCGGCCTCTACTTTTCATAGTGGCAATTCGCAAACGAAGCTCAAAAATCAGATATTGCATAAATTGGCAATGTTTACATATAACGTTCTCGACAACAAACGTTTGAGACAAATGAAAAGTGCAAGACTTTGAAAGAATGTTATCCCATGAGCAATAACCCGAAGAGAAATCTCGCCTCTAGCCTTAATATTTAAAAAAAATTAATCAACCTTCAAGAAGGACTACACAACGTAAGTACAAACATGTACCTTAAATCGTGTGCTGATATCATCCAGATTCCGAGTAATGTACCTTCAGTCTTGAGAATTTTGGCAATCCAAAATCCTCTGACGATACACCGTTATACTTGTCTGTCATTTGAAACATGTTAAAATTGGCTGATCTACTCGAAACTATCGTAACACCGGTCATTTATCATAAACATACACGTAAGTTATGTTTATGGCGTGACGCTGGATTTCTCCCTGAAGTTTCCGTCAGGTCGCTCCAAAGAAGACGAGAAATGGACAGTTTTCGATATTTCTGCATATTTCCGCGCATTCTGAAGTAAAAACAACCAGAAAGAGAGAGGAAAACCTTGATTGAACGTTCGCAAACACTGAGGGTGGTAGTATAAATCGCAACTTGTCAGCGGTAGTACTACATGTAAAACCCACCAGTTGCGCGATAACTATCACAAAGTGGAGATTTTGAACAACTCAGTATCCCCTCATTACAGCAAATGGAACAGGGATTTAACACAATCATGGTCCACAACTTAAGATTTTTTAGGGAATCGTTTACATGCTTGAAGAATATTTTGGCTTTGAGCTTTAAGATTTCTTTTCCTTGAGATTTCTTTTCCTTGAGAATAAAATGCTATAGTAAGTGCCCACAAAATTACAAAGGTTCCTCTTTCGGTGTCGCATGGACCGAGGAGTACAGATTTGTTATGGATGAACCAACGGGCACAATGTCCTCAGTTATTAGCTTGATAATCTCCACAGACTAACGTTATTGGACCGAAGATCTCCTTCTTTTTCCTCGTGAGCCGGCCACCTCAGGGGGAAATTGAAGAGACCTTTGACTTTCTGTCGTGTAAATCACCGGAAGATTGCGTTATATTCACCTTTCTTTAAGCTTATAAAAGATATCCAGGAAAGGTGGAATTATGACATAACGATTTCATTGAATCTTTTATTTCGAACTCTGTTTTGATTTTTCTTGATCAAGACATGAAAGAAAACATTGACTGACTCGATTGCACTGCGGCGGTGATAAGTCTCTTGTTATCATATCTTATGCAAATTTTCGTACAAATTTCTGTTGTGGCAACTGGATTTTGAATGTAGTACTACCGCTTACAAGTTGCGATTTATATTCTCACTCTCAGTATTTGCGAACGTTCATTCAAAGGTTTCCTCTCTTTTTTTGGTTGTTTTTACATCAGAATACGCGGAAATCTGCTGAAATATCGAAAAATGTCCATTTCTCGTCTTCTTTGGAGCGACCGGACGGAAACTTCATGGAGAAATCCAGCGTCACGCCATCGTGATAACGTACATGTTTATGATAAATGACCAGTGTTAAGATAGTTTCGTGTAGATCAGCCAACTTTAACATGTTTCAAATGACAGACAAGTATATAGGTGTATCGTCAGACGATATTGGATTGCTCAAATTCCCATGAAAGAAGGTACAGTACTCGGAATCTAGATTGTCAGCACACGATTTGAGGTACATGTTTGTAGTTACGTCGGGTAGTCCTTAAAGATGGTTGATCAATTTTTTTGTAAATGTTAAAACTAGAGGCGAGATTTCTCTTCGGGATATTGCTCAGAAGATAACATTCTTTCAAAGTCTTGCACTTTTCATTTGTCTCAAACGTTTTTTGTTTAGAACGTTAGATGTAAACATTGCCAATATATGCAAAATCTGATTTTTGCGCTTCGTTCGCGAATTGCCACTATGAAAAGTAGAGGCCGGCCGGCAGAGAATTTTACATATTTAAAACTAGAATGTTATAACCAACTAAGTGCGTAGTTTCCGTTACAGAATCGGAGTACTTTTGGAGAAATTTAGACAAACGTTTTCGCTGTTTTACCCTACAGCAAAAATGACCGAAACTGTACCAAGTTAATTAATCTATTGGGGTGTTCACATTCACTACCAGGGAAAATTGAATACATCAAAGTAAAGACGAATGATGTCACTATGTATGCTAGAGGTACCAATCGGTAATGTTGTATTTAGCTTGAGACAAAGAAATAAACATTTTACACCTTTTTTTGCAATGTTTTTGTATGAAAATAAGCGCCCAGAGGCCCGTTTCTCGAAAGTCCCGCTAACTTAACGGACCCGGGGCCCGTTTCTCGAAAGTCCTAGTAACTTAACGGGCCCGAAACCATGTTTCAAAGTCAAAATTTAACGGATAG